CTGATTCAGCGTTTGAGAATTTGAGGATGAGAGGAAAAAGAGAGAGAGAGAGAGAGAGAGGGGGTGGAGGGGTGGACAGATGAGAAAGAGATGAGGATGAAAAGAAATGCAGAGGGTTGCCATCAATACTGGAGTGTTCTTGGATCTTCACGGCACAAAAAAAGGAGTGAATTACCAAAATATTGGACAAAAGTGACCAAGTCGGATAATATGGCCTAAAAGATCTATGTTTATCTCAGTAACACCTCCCCACCTGCCCTGAGAGAGAAAGAGAGCTACGTATAGAACTACGCCCCAATACCGGCTGAAACAGGAGTAGGAGAATGTATGGACAGTATGCTGACAGTTTTAAATGAGAGACTGGCGGCCAGAGAGAGAGAGAGAGAGAGTCAATGTGAAGAGCGAAAGATTGTTTGTTAAACAGAAGTACAAAATATATATTAGCCACCCGACACCACCATCTCTGTTTGCCCTTACTGTATAATCCGTCCTGCCAGACAATTCTGTCCATACTTTGTCCAATAAACGTCCTTGTCCTTTCACATGAGAGAAAGCAGCCATTAAGGGCAAAAATTACGTCACGATACACGTCCACGCCACCGAAAACGACAAATATTAGCTTAAAAAAATCGTTAAACGTCATAAAGTTGACTTCGAACATATTTTATGCCGAACATGCGAACGGGACAGACGGGAAGTGTGCTGAGGGGCTGTCGGAAGAGCCCCGCACTGCTCCAAAGCTTTTATACCCCAAGGGTCAAGGCAAAGAGGAGCCCCCCTGGCCCTGCACCCACTCCCCTTCTCTGCCTGGCCTTATTTAGTGAAGCAGGGTAAAAAATAGCCCTTCAAGTGCTGCTGGCCTGCTCTGATCTGGAGGGGGCGGGGCCTGTACTGGGGGAGGGGCTACTTTTCAAATGAGAATTGCGTATCATCTTCTGTCACTCAGACACCTTCTTACGTTGTATTCTTTTGTCCCTGTCCTAAAAAAAACAAACAAACAAAAAAAAACCCATCTGCTAATATAATTCATTCCCCACCCTGTCCTTCCGTTAGCACACCCTAAGTCCCTTATGCCATCTGCCCTCACCTCCAGGCTTTCAGCTCAGCCTCTGGAGGTATTTTTAGGCAGGCCAAATAAAGAGGTACGTTCAGTTCCTGCCTTGCCCTACCCTGCACCACCCAGTAGTTCGGCAACACTGTGCTATCTATGGTCAGAGCCACTGAGATTGAAGACAGAGCCGCAGATGTAAAGAGTCACTGCGCTGCATTGCTTTTTGGATTGATGAAATTTGGAATTGAGTTTTTGTTATCTCAGTTGGTTTCCCCCACTGAATCTAGTTTGTTTGTTTATTAATTTAGTCATTGAATAATTGATTGATGTAGTGTTTAATTGTTTGCACAGTGATGTTTGTAGTCTGTACTAGTGTGTTATTTGCTGTAACAGAGCAGTGATGTGCATGCTTTGAAGATTTGGTTCCTTCCAAGGTTTTTTTTCCCATCAACTTTCCTTATCGTCCTAAACTCAGATCTCACTGCGTGATATTTCTGTCCCTATGAATCCTTGTTGCTTGTCAGATTGTACAACATGACCCCAGAGACACCCTGCACGACATAAACTGTCTTTGAACTAGCTCATCAAGGTCATCCGGATAGCAAGCTGCATTTGAAATCGCATACATAGTGGCTACTACATTTGACGATGAACAAACTTCGGTAACGCTTCCTTTTACAGTACCATACTTACAGTATACTTACAGTGTACTTACCTAGAAAGTACTGGCTAATAAGGTAAGTACATGGAACAGGGGTAGGTTTAGGGGTAGTACTAGTTATTACCCCGTAATTGTAGTTACTAAAATAAGTACATAGTATTTACATGGGTAACTGGACTGTAAAAGGAAGCGTTACCCAAACTTCTCGATTGTGAAAAAGTGTGTTCTCTGTTGAATGAATGTGTGTAGTATGAATGAAATCCAGATTCACTGCATCCGCCATGTTGGTATTGTCACCTGACTTTCCAGCAACGGTTACTTCAATTCACTGTCATTCACAAATCCTCTCCACTGGCCACATGGGATAGTGAAACATCAGATGCACATTTTGGAATCTCTGCAGGAGAAGTCATCTAGGTACTTTTCACCTCCTGTTTTATGAGTACTGTGAATTCAGACAGTCTTTTTTCACATACTTTTCACCTTCTGTACTATAGGGAATTGGGCATGTGTATTGTCTTAGAACTGTACATTTCTGATATGGACATTATTTTCACAGTCACCTCTGATAACAGGAGATTACTCTAAATTGTAATGTAGAAACAGAAAATGTAGAGCATTTTTTGTAAAGCTGCTTTGAAACAGTATGTATTGTGAAATGCACTATACAAATACATGTGAATTGAATGTGAAGTGAATGTTTAAACCTATAATAAACTGATTAATGAAATCTTTTGTCGCTGGACCAATGTTCAACAGCAAACTTGTGGTAAATTCAGTAGTATTACAACATGAATGACATGCTGAATAATAACAAGATGTTTGTAGCGTAATATTGACAAGCTAGTATCGACATTCTGGTACCTTTTTCTCCCTTTTACATGTCATTATGGTGGCATATAGGAGCAGTTACACTGCAGCAATATTTCTAACACTTGGAAAGCAAGTCACTCTCAAGGTTCTGACACACCAAGCCAATTGTCGGCCATTGACCATTGATGGTCTGTTTTTGGCCGTCTGTCGGCCTAGTATTTTTGTGGTGTGTTGGTACTAGTCGGACCCTCTGTCAATGTCTATTAGGCCGGATTGAACATATTGAATTGGTAGTGGAGCCATCTTTGACGACTTTCCATCACTGTTATTTTTTTTATGTCGGTTTGGTATGCCTGGGCCTAGCTGTCTAACACCGTGTCCTAACTACACGTGACGCGATAAAATTCTAGCGACAGCAAGTGTGTCTGTCCACACTAGACGCAATGCGACTGTGAGACGCCACGCGTCAATCAAAAATCACAGCCATTCAGAACAGCGTGAAAGCGCACTGCTGGCCCGCACTCGCATTGGAAATGGGTAAGGACATAATCGAATCAAGAAATAACATTATTAAAAATCAAAACATTAACAAAATATACTCATTGACTAATTTTGTTATGAAGTACAGTTACGCTATATTACTGTATATGCTTTCAAAATCTGAGGTAAATTATCTGTTATCGCTTATGGCACAATGACTTATTTTTAACTGAAAATAAATAATGTGTACTTATAACCAGTGTAATTTATTCATTCTGTCAGCCGCAACGTCGCAGAAATAGGAACCGTTTCTAAATTAGAAACTTGGCGTTTCACCGTTGCGTCTGATTAGGACAAAAACGCTGATTAACATGGAAAAGAGACCTTTTATCGCGTCGCGTTGCATATAGTTAGGCCACGGTGTTAGCCTAGGTTCACACTTTTAGTTTTTTGGGATTGACAAATGTATTTACTTACAGGAGTCTCTCTCTTATCCGGGTGGAGAGCGGAGCATTTGAGTTGCACAAAGAACACAAAACTGTTGGACAAAAGTTACTGGATCTATAACGTTCAGATGCTCATTTCTCCATCGCTATGTTACCTAAACCGAAACCACACATGAAAACCCTCAACACACAGTAGACCCACTTTTGCGCAGTACAGAGCAGCTCTCTCGCACTGTATGATGTGACGGACAACTACCGTAAAACTTCCATTAGTTGCTTTTATTTTCCCAAATCGTCGGACTGCACTGCCTTGTATTTGAGACAGGTGTCTATATGAGACAGGCCTTAATTTAGTGTTGAGATGTTGTTTATTGAGTGCAGGCCTAGAGTCCAATCTCTAATAATCTCCAAATGCTCCACGTTAAACTGCTTGTCTTCTACTATCGCGTCAATCGCGTCGATTTTGGGTTCCCACGGGTCCTTGAAATCATTGAAAGTTTATGAATCTGAAAAAACAAAATTGAAGGCCCTGGAAAGTTTTTGAAAATAGATACAGGTCCTTGAAAGTGCTTGAATATATTTAGTGCAAGAACTTTTCTGGGAAAAAAAATCTCCCCTGTCCGCTAATGTGTTATTTTGCCAACACTTTGTGGCCAATGCACACAAGCTTGCTTGATTTACGTTAGTTACACGCATTTACGCGTTACATTAAGTGTTTCCTGTGTGAGGTACTTGGTTATACGTTGCCATGACATTCACGCACACACAAAACGACTACGATGGTACCTCAACGTTTCACAGACACACCGTGAAACATTGCAAAAATAGCCTGAAACCACTGAAACGTGATGCCTGGAAAATGCAAGTTTCAAGATATTTGGAATATTTTATAATGTATTTGATCTACACTATGTTGTCCCCACATTAAGTCCTTGAATTTGAGGGTGTTGGACCTGGAAAGTCCTTGAATGGTCGTTGAATTTGGAGTTAACCGAAGTGTGGGAACCCTGTTAATATGCGCCTGGGAGAGAGACCAAGAGAGAGACCAAGACAGCGCTTGTGTTTTTTGAAGACGTGAGAGTCTGAGATGTCTAACGTTTTAGTAGTTTAAATACAACCCAAAACTAAAAAACAGACCCGGCTTCTATTCGGGACCGACCTTTATTTACCCAAACCTGCTGCCACACCAGGCTTGTAAAAAAGACAGGCGTCTATTTGGGACTCGGCTTATATTTGAAGTTTTACGGTAGTTGAACAGTTCTTTTCACACTGCAGGATTTTCCAAGAATGCGGTTGTGAGTCCTGAAAATTTGCGGTTGTGAGTTTGGTAAAAGAATGTGGTTGTCACTAGCGTAAATAATTGAATTGTGTGTTAACGTAACCGTAATCAAGGACTGACAACTGTATTCTGCTGCTGAGTGAATGTTAAATACTGTGTGCACTGGGCTTTTAGGGAGTTAACCATTATAATGCACTATACTTTGGAACAATTTGTACTGTAAAAAAAACATTATACATAATTTAAACTTGAATTTAATTGTTTCTACAGTGTAATGAGAAGAGTTGACTGACAACTAAGAGGGAAATGAAGAAAGAGAATGGGAAAAATGAAAGGAGAACTGAGTCTCGCACTACTGAGGGGGCAGCATGAGCAGGTAAAGAAAAGAAAATTATTGATTTCCACCTTAAAAAGGCAATCTCGAAACAAGTGCTCTGGGGGAAAAAGACAGTGTGAGAGGCACTATCTGCATGTCTTAGTGTGTGTGAAGATATTTGAGTGTTATGAAAGAGTTAGTGAAAACCTGCTGCCTTAGTCTTCCCATGGACAATGTTCTATTGGTCATCTCTGTCATTCTATTTATTGTTCTTTCTTTCTTTAAAATAAAACATCTATCTTTCTTTCTTTCTTTCTTTCTTTCTTTCTTTCTTTCTTTCTTTCTTTCTTTCTTTCTAAGTCTTATCTCTCTGTCTGTCGACTGTTGCTCTAATGCTTTATCTATCACTGTCATTTTATCTATCGTTTTATTTATCTCAAAGTGTTCCTATCAGCCCGACTCTATCTGTTGATTGTGTGATTGTACATTTCATTCGTATCTTACGTTCAATAGTTTTTTGGGTTTTTTGTCTTTCTGTCTAATAAGAGAAGGAAGCTAATTTTCTATCTTTTATCAGCTATCTTTTTCTGTTTTCATTCTAGTATAATTTACTAGAATGTTTTTTTATATATATATCTCTTTATTGTTCGCTCGTTCTGTCTGTAGCATGACTCAGACCTAGAGTAACATCTAATAATACCATACACGCACTGAGAGAAAGAGTGACAGAGAAAGGGAGATGGAGGGGTATCAATGCCCATATCTATTCTTACTCTTGTTATTACACAGCATGTCTCTTCTGTTCCTGGCCAATGTAGTCACCGGTCTTAAATTACAACACCAAGTGTCATTAAAGGTGTACACAAGTTTATTTCCTTGATTTTATTCTTCTCTGGGCACTTAAGCTCAGTGTCTTAGATAGTGATAGACTGGTGGTTAAAGCTCTGGGCTTGAAATGCAAATATCGTAAGTTCGATCCCAGGTGGGAGTGACTCATGAATTGGAGAGTTACCAAAGGATTGTTGTCGCGGTTGTGCCCTTGAGCGAGGCTTTCAATCCTGGTTTGCTCTGGGGTGACTGTCTATGTAATTAGTGTCCTGTTAGTCGGATTGAATAAAAGGCTGGGTTAAATGAGTAACCAAATCAGCAGCTCAGAAATTTGTATATTTTCTGTGCATGGCATTTTTCACACCGTTCATTTCTATAATAATAAAGTTAATCAAATTTTGCTCAGTTCTCAGTATTTGTTCCTTGTGCACTGTGGAAAAGAGATTATTGAAAAGCACTGCAGTGCAGTTAACATTCAAATGCTACTATTTGAGAGAACTTGTCTGTGGCATAAGGTCAACGAAAGAGAAAAGAAATTAGGTAATTAGAAATTGCGATGGAATTTTCAGTTTTTGTCTGAAAGAGGAAAATGGCAGAAAATATATGCCACCCCGCCCCTCAGTGTTGTTGTAAATGATGAAATATAAAGATAGAAATATAAAGAAATATCAGTCCACTTTCAGACTGTATCTTCTTTGGCTTTTGTGTACATATTCTGATTTGTTGTTAATTGAAATGCACAAAGTGAAGTTGATGTCCTCTTGAAATATTTATGTACAACCACAATTGACCCTTTATTAAGCCCTGCTTCCCACTGTATGGCTACTACCTCCTTTACAGGACATTTGATATCAATGAATTGAATATTTTTGAATAATTACATTGTCATAAAATGTGGCCATAAAATGTATTTTTACTGTTATTTTTGTTCTCATTAACATTTTACCATATTTTTGGATAATTTCTACAAAATTAAACTAAACTATTAAACCAAAGTAAACACACAGATCCTCCATAGATTTACATTGGAAAAGAGAAAAAGCAAAGTAAATGTCAAGCTACGGTTGGTCGGTAATGTTTTTAAAGGGGTGGTTGATTGCGATTTCACTTTTTTTCATTTTAAATAATGTGTAATGTTGCTGTTGGTGCATGAATAGTATCTGCAAAGTTGCATCGCTGAAAGGTCAATGTAAGCAGAGATATCGTCTTTTAAAAATCAGGAAGTTTAATGCCTACAAAAGCGTCTCGAATGGGACTACAACGGGTTTTATACGTAACTAACCCATACATTTGCATCAACCCTCCCTCCGGAATATGCAAAAAAGGGCATGGCCATATTTCTGTGGCTCATCGAAAGTGTGTTATTTTCAGTCATCTGTCAGGTCTTCTGTGTTCGAGCTTCCCACGGACGTTGTAGTTCGCCAACAATGGATACAATTTATTTTTCATTATGTTCCTGAAAATTACAATCGTAATTTAGCTCTGTGCTGCGCATTTTACAAAAGACAGCTTCCAGAATCTCCACGAATTCAACACCGGATTCAAAAAGAAACTGTTACTAAAACATGAAGCAGTTTCAACTTTAAAACCAGATGTAGCCGTTGTTGGGCCACAATCTGTAAGTAAGACTTAATCATTTTAAATGTATTTGCATGTATAATTTCAGACGTAAAGCACTGGCTTTATAGCCACTTGGTTATGCTATTTCGTGTCTACGACAAACGCGTACAAACATTTTGGACCTGATTTGTACCAATTTTGTAAATGTATTTTTCATGTAGCCTATATATACTTTATGACGTAAACCAATGGCAACGCTGTAGCCACTAAGTTCGATGCTATTTTGTGTAAGACAAACGTGTATAAAATTTTTAAAAAAATTATAGGCTATGTAATCGCAGCAAACTTCAGCTGTGTTATCAGTGTACAGGGTGGTTTTAACTCAGTTGCCACATGTAGGCTACACCTAAATAAAACGATACACTCAGTAAACTAAGTTTTGTGAATAGATGTTGTTCATTTTATTGATAAAATAACTTTAGAAAACATGTATTCAGTTATATAAATGTTTTATCAGGAGAAAACCGTATCTCAAAAGCTAACAAGCAGCAGTAGCATTTATTAAGTAACAACATATCGAAATTCTTATAATAATAGTAGTTAAAGAATGTAATAATAATAATTTTTTTAAAAAATTACCAGAAATGTTTTGTTGGAGTGTGTTTGGGGAGGTTCAGCTTGACTCTATTCATCGCCACTTTCTAGGTCTGATTCTGGCTCAAACTAATACGGCAGTTTCGACACAATTATTTACATTGACCGGAGCACATGAAACATTCACCCGTAAAGGTAATGGACGTGAAGTTACCGGACAACGTGCACTACGTAGCCAATTACAACACACTGGCCCAAACTAACCAATCTGAGCCCATAGCCTGTTTCTGAGGGAGTGGTTTCATAGACTCAGGATGTAAACCGGTAGTTCAAATGACAGGGTAGAAAGCTGCTTAAGACTTTTTTAAAAAAGAAAAAAACACAAATACATGTTATATTGCACCCCATAAACACAATCATGCAAAGAAAAAAAGTAGTGAACCACCCCTTTTACAAATAAAGTAGAACACATTTATTCAGTGAGTCAAAATGGTGATTGTCTCAAATGCATTTTAGCACCTCATTCAGTCAAGCACATACAGGACTTCAGGAATACACTAACTATGACCACCAATGGTTCTCGAGCTGTGTGGTGTAAAGGATTGGAATGTCTCTTATTTTTTCTCTATGACGCTGTTGCATGCTTGTATTTTATCTTGTTGCATGTGAACACAGTACAAGCTCCAGTTGACTCTTGTGTATGCATGATTGCACGCGTGTACGCATGTCTTCTAAACAGGTGACTCTGAAGGAGAGTGTGAAGGTGAGATATGCTAAAAGCTTTCGAGCTGCTGCCTCTCGGAGCGAGAGCAACAAACTACAGAGACTGAAGCACACAGTGTTTTTCAACATGCTTGAGTGTGTGTGTGTGTAGTACGGTAGCGTGTTTCTGCACAGGGTGCAGTTAACTCTCCCAGGGGAATGTCGCTTTAGTGACTGTGTGTAATGGTCTAAGAGATGAATGCTCTCTCTTACAGTGCGGATACACGCATTCACTCTTTCTCAAACACACACACACACACCTCTGGGCTAATCTGAGAGAGAGGTTTGTGTGTTTCTGCGGCAGAGATTTCATACACAAGTTGTCACTTTCATTACTGCTCGGTGCCAAAAAGATCTGAACTAAACTCTGTGTCAGTTCCCAGGCGGTGCAGGCTTTTCCGAAATTAAATAATTAATTGAAGTTGAACAATGACGAGGTTCAGGTGACTTAAAATGGCTGGACTGAATTTGCATTGCATAAATTTTCACAAATGGACAAGCAGTTATTGAAATGGGTCTCTCTGCATATGTCATTTCTTTCATCGCTCTGATTGGCTTTAGGTCTATCCAATTGCGCCCAGAGGCATTTGAGCTATGTCCGTTGGTGACGCCCCTTTTGAAATGATTTGTCTAGGAAGCTTTGCGAGACCATAACTCACTTACAACTGAGAATGGTCTGGTATAGAGCCAGACCGATTTATCTGCTGGCCGATATTATCGGCCGATATTAGGCATTTTCCAAACTATCGGTATCGGCAGTTATAATGGCCGAGAAATGAATATTTCAAAAATAAAATAAAAACGGACGAAACACGCTTCAACCATGTCATGAGTGTTGGAGTTGTATAGTTTGTCCACCAGAGGGCACTCTACACCGTCCCTGTTGGCAACACTCGTGTATAACGCGCCACACATCCTGCTGATCCAGGTTGCAGGTAGCTTATAAGGCAATGTAGGGACTAATTATTATTTTATTTATCAGAAATATATATTTTGATGTTCCTCTGTTCTGTTGTGACAATAAAAGAAACAAGTTTCTTTTTAAAATCCATTATCATATCATTAACCATTAGTTAAAATATCGGCCGATATATCGGAATGTCGGATTTTAAAACCAACAAGTATTTGTATCGATATCAGCCTTCAAAATCCTTTATCGATCGGGCTCTAGTCTGGTAGTAAGGCTAGCCTTAGCATTTTCCAGGCTTGCATTTATTCATTTATATATACAGTACATAACTGATCAAAAGTTTCGGGTCAGTACGTTATTTAAATTTATTCACCAAGACTGCATTTATTTTATCAAATATACAGGA